TGTACCTAAATCCTTTAATTTAAACTGAGATGCTAACACACTCTTTAAATTCTTAATTTCTACATTATTATTTGAGAATATAAAGAAGTCATCAACATATAATGCTATAATTGTAATATAAACACCTTCCTGCTTTATAAACAAACATGGTTCAATATTAGACCTTTTATATCCATTAGTAGTAAGACAATCATCTACCTTTTTATACCAAGCCCTAGATGACTGTTTAAGGCCATAAATAGCTTTCTTGAGTTTTAAAACTTTACCATTATTATGAGGAGCATTAAAGCCTTCTGGCTTTTTCATATAAATTGTTTTCAAGATCACCATTTAAGAAGGCAGTGGTCACATCTAAATGAGTTACATTTAAATCTAGTTTCACAGACATTGCAAACAACAATCTCAAGGTGGTATGTCTAACTACGGAGAAAAGGTTTCATCATAGTCCAATCCTTTTCGCTGTGTAAAGCCTTTTGCCACCAGCCTTGCACGATATCGAATGTTTTTATCACTGTCAACCTTTTTTTTTAGCACCCACTTGCACTGCACTAGAGTCCCGTCACATGGTTTGTCTACCAGTTCCCACGCACTGTTATTTTCAAAACACTGTAATTCTTCTTTTATTGCTTCTAACCACTGTTGCTTTTCTGGTCCTTGTAAAGCTTCCTGTAATGTTAACCCACTGGCATCATCAAACAAGTCCTCCGTGACGCACATTTTGAGAGTCCAAAGCGTTCAGGTCGTTTCCTCTGCCTTACAGGCCTTCCTTCAGTAGCCTGAGTACCTAAATCTATAACAGAATCTTCACTTCCTGTTGTAGTTTCATAGGATGTCTCACTGTCCTCAGAATCATCTGGCATGTAGGTCTTGTCATGATTATCTGTAACTGTGTCATCCTGATCCCCCACTAAATCCAAGCATCCTGGACTTGACTGTTGACTAACTGTAGATATCCCTACATCTTCGTTTTCTATATGGATCTGACACTGTTCATGGTTTCTTGTAATTGGCTTTCTTTCTTATAACTTAGTGGATCTTCCATTATAACTACATCACGACTTGTAGTTACACATCTTGTTTCTTCTGAATATATCCTGTAGCCTTTAACATTGTCAGGATATCCCACCAAAATACACTGCTTGGATTTCTTGTCCCATTTCTGCCGCTTTTGTTTCGGAATATGTACCATGACACGACTACCAAATATTCTTAAATGACTAACATCTGGTTTGTGACCCGTCCACAACTCGTAAGGAGTCTTGTCATTTAGCCCTGATGCTATGGACCTGTTTTTAATGTAAACAGCGGTATTTGCTGCTTCACCCCAAAACTTTATCTCCAACCCAGCATCGAACAACAAGCATCTTGCCTTTTCTACTACTGACCGGTTGTAGCGTTCACACAGACCATTCTGCTCCGGGTATAAGGATTGGTCTTTTGATGCAGGATACCTTCTTGCGCCAAATAATCTTCAATCTCCTTGCTGCAGTATTCTAGTCCATTGTCTGAGCGTAATATCTTCATTTTCTTATTCTGATGGTTTTCTACCATTGCCTTAAACATTTTAAATTTCTTCATAACCTCACTTTTTTTATGTAAGAAATATATAAAGGCCATCTTACTGTAATCATCCACAAAAAGTAAGAAATATCTTGACCCACCTATGGTGTTGTGTTCCATGGGTCCACATATGTCTGTATGTATGATCTGGAGAGTCTCCGTGCTTCTCTCTCCAACATTTGTGAATGGCAACCTACACTGTTTTCCTTCACAACAAACCATGCAATTTGATTTACTTGCATCACTCCTGCCACTATATTCTAAACCATCAACTGCTCCATTCTTCATCTTTTGCATGTCATTGCAATTTATGTGTCCTAATCTTCTATGCCAGGTCTCTGCAGTCACTGCCCCCATAGCAACCAACTCTCTAGAGCGTAAATTAAGTTTATACACCCATTTCTGAGATTTGCATCCGCTACAAGTTCATTCTTGGCATTATAAATGCAGCACTTGTTCGATTCGAAAACTACATTGTTTCCATTTCTAATCAATTCGCTGACAGACAGCAAATTCGTTGTGAGACTTGGTACGCACATAACGTTGCTTATTGTAACTTCGTAATCAAAGCTTGTAGTAATCCTAATGTCTCCTGAACATTTCACTGGTACTTTCGTTTGATTTGCTACAATAATCTCGCGCAAACCCGGTGAGGTCGAAATATTCGTCAACCAATGTTCATTTGCCGTTAAATGGCCACTTGCGCCTGAGTCTATGTAAAAATCTTCTTTACTGAAACTCGCAGTCAGAAATACAGCACTAAAAGCGTTTGTTTGTTTCTTATTTTCTGTATTTTCACTTATTTTGCACTGGTTTTTATAGTGACCGGCCTGTTTACATCGATAACAATAGATCGTTTTTTTATCTTTTACATTGACTTTTGATGACGTTCCATTGTTAGTGTTGCCATATCTCTTTTATTTTTCTGCCATGCTTTAGCTGCAAAAGCTCCATTCGATTCCGTTTCACTCGAGCCCGGTGGTTCCATATCAATTAGTTTCGTCTTGATGACATCTGCGTTGATAGGAATGCCCGAATGCTCTATGGCCATTATCATTGGGGTATACTTGTCTGGCAAGCCCGCCAGAAGTAATGAACCTACCCACTCATCATTTATATTAAATCCTGTGCCGTTTAATTTTTGCGATGTTTCGATGATCTGCGTTACATATGTCGTCATCGACTCACAATTTTCAAGCCTGATAGATATTAAATGACGTAATAGCGTAATTCTCCTAGAAAACCCGGAATCGTCGAACAATGATTTCAACTTGTCCCATAGTTGTTTTGTCGTAGTCGTACTCTTGATATGAACATATAAAGACGAATCAATAGTTAAAATCAATTTCGCTCTTGCTTTAGCATCTGTTGTAGCAGCTGCTGCGTCCGTTGCCGCCGGCTCTTTCTTAACCTTTTCCGCATAGCCGTCAAGGACAAGCAAATTCTCTGCCGCAAACGCCCACTCGTCGTAGTTTTCTCTGCCCTTAAGTTTTGGCACATTTACTACATAGTTCGAGGATGACATTTTCACCGCACAATATACACTAATACTGGTTAAACTTATTAATTTTTAAATTGAAATTCGTGAGGGCACCATAACCTCTAAGTAAAACACAGTGTATCCAGCGAGTGAATGAATGATTTTTATTTTGAATCTGTAACACATAATTCTCACACCAGGTGGCAGCACATACAACACAATACTCATCTTGACATTAATAAATCCAACAGCAGCCATCTCCGCCCGCAGCAGTCCGACTACGTCGGCCTCCGCCGGGGGTTGGGGGCGACTGCCGCGAGCAGCGGCGAGCTCGGCCCTGGCCGTCCGCAGCTCGGCCTCCAGAGCCGCGTTAGAGGCCGCCAAGCGCGCCAGCTCTCGCCGCATCTCGGCCAGCTCAGAGCGCACGTTTCCCGCAGTGGGCACCGCACGTTGCTCCAAGGCCGCCTCCGTAATGGTGGCCGCCGCCGCCTTTAAATCTTTATTCATTATAAGAATTGGTCATATTACAGATTAACATCTTAATTTAAAATCAGAGATCACACTAGGTTTAATGCCTGTACTAGGAGCCTTGAGGAGGCGGAGCCTAACCGGCTGGGATTTCCCCATCGCCAGCTTGTAGAGCTCCGCCGTAATGGCCTGTTCGAGGCCCCCGGAGCAGCTCTCGCTCTCAGAGCCGCGCTCGCCCTCCGACATCTCCACGCCGGACATCTCGGCCGCAGAGGACTCCGAACGGGCAGCGCTTGAGAGAGCCCTGCCCTCCGCGGCCAGCTGCTCGGCTGACTCCGCGCAGGCAGCTGGTGCCGGTTTCCGGCGACCGCTGCCCTTGCCGCCCCTACCCCGCGCTGCCGTGGGGACCTTGGGGGGAGGCGCCTCCTGAGCGCCGGAGGACGGGGACAAACTGTCCTCCTCCAGCCTGGGGCGTTTGAACGTCCCCGTCGCGCGGCGGCGTGAGCCTTTCGAGCTCACGCTCAGCCGCTCCGCCAATGTTGTGTCGGACTCTGAGTCCGACCCCCTCCGACTAGACTCCCGTGTGTGGGGCCTGCTGGACGAGTCCAGCGCCTCACCACGAGTCCCGGAGCCACTTGGGCTCCCTTCTCCTGCTACTGCAGGCGAGCCAAGCTCACCCGCACTCTCTCCTCCTCCAAATGTGGTTTTTTGTTTGTTTTGACTTTCTCCATAAAGTTCCCACGAGTATGGGGGAAATATTCGGTCCACCCAGGCAGTGCCCCCTGTACCTGGGTAAGTGTTAATTTGTTTCCCAACTAGAGGTTCCACTGGTCCCCTAGCTGGGGGTGCGCTCGCGACTGACACTACTCCTCAGCCATGCATACTCTCGCCGCGCACCAGAACTTAGTATTAGAGGAATTTTTTATAGAGGTTATCTTCCTCGCGGCCCGGGCGACCAAGCCAAGACCCTCGTCCCGTTCAGAGTCACAAAACATGACCGTGACCTCCTTACGGATTACGATATCGACGGCTGCAATCGGGGACAGCTTGTGTCCCGATGCTGCTCGCTGGCAGGGTGAGTGCACAACGAGCACCGCCCTTGCCCCTCCGCCACGCTCTCTGCTAAGTTCAGAGAGACAGGCGGAGAAACGCCCCACGGAAGCGCGGGCCATGAGCACACAGCCCGCCGCCTCCAGAACCCTATCGGGTTCGCCCGCCCAGTCCAGAAGTCTGCTGCGGGCGACAGTCACTCCAACCCTATCACCCCCGCTAGGGAGACTGTCGCCCGCACCCAGGGTGCACCACGGGGAGGTCTTCTGGCACCGCACCCCGCGGCGTTAGCTTAAAGTAGGTTGCTGCGTAAACAGAAAAATGTGCGGTGATGAAACCGTACAGTGTTTTTATACTATTCTTACATCAATTACTAAGTTATGTATTTAGTCGATACAATGATGAGTACTATTACGTATGAATATAGGATGAAGTGAAAGGGTTACGCTAGAATACTATTCGATGGTCCATTGTCTATCGTAATTATAGACAAGCGTAACGCTCTTGTAGAAAACCAATACTTACTATTTTTACTAAACATATAAGAAGATATATGAGGTCTGGCGGCGACGTACAGCCGGACAGACATGCTGCGTACATGTGGCGGCCGCGTCGCTATCGTGGCTCGGCACCGCAGCGCCAGATACCCGCGGTGTGTCGGGTAATCGTCCGGGTAGACGTGCAGCGTCCGCCAGGATGCGCGGAGACCATCGCCGTCAGCGCCAGACACCACTGTGTCTGGTGTTATTAGTGGATCCTGGGGGAGAATGAGAAAACTAAATAAGTTGAACAATTTTGGTAAACACTTCTCACACGATAATAGATTTTGCATTTGATATCTTATTTCATATGTGTTAATGTTTTGGTCACCCTCTTTAACTTGGGACTTAAAACACCTTATGAAATGTGGTTGTACATTGTACAGTGGCTAGAAATACACCTCTGCCGCCTTCAGAGATAAAAGTCATGACGGTATAATATTTGAGTTTGGCTTTTTGAACGATACTAAAAATCAACTGCGTAACTTATTTTAAAACGACACAAACTCCACCCCAGTATGCTGAGTTCCAACTTACAAAGAGTGCACTTAATCCAGCCAAGTTACCGCTAACTTACAAAACTTGAGCTAGCACTTATAAATTCATAAAAATCTTCCCACAAAACCTTTTCCTTTAGAAATGCTTCATCGATGCCACAATAGTTTGCTATTATTGTTGTCGACGAATACAGAAACTTCGTCTTTGTGTCTGTTTGTCGGCAAACTGTGCACTTACGGGCAATTTCATCTCTTAAAACTTTTGCTCGAGCCACAACTTGGGAGCAAATTTCTGACCCGCATTCACTATTTTTCGAGATACGATTGATTGAATTATCTTATTGTGTTGTAGTTTTTCCAAGTGTTTCTTCTACCAGTCTTATATAAGTACAATGATTTATTAACTTAACTTCTGAGTATATTTTATTGTTTGTCAACTTTTATCTTATTTCTAGAATCTCGCTTTCCGACTATCAGAAATGGGGACATTATTTAATACTTTTCTATCTATTTACAGACAAATTTCCAGAATTCTTTTGTGTCTATGTATAGAACCGTAAATGGAAAATTTCTTAGGAATCTAATTTTGCTTTAGTAAATAAAGTCACATACAGAGTATTTCATATTATTTACCTATTCTATTCATATCATCATATTTTCCAAGAACGAGAAAAAACCTTATACACCTGATTTTAACCAAGCTACAACGAAGTTGAGTCTTCTGCTAATTGTATAAGGTTTCTTGTCACAAAGCAAATCACCTGAATAATCTGATAAAGAGTATATCTGCATGTAAAGAAAGAAGAAAAACGGTTTTATTCATTACGACACACACGTAGATAAGAACACAGGTACGTGTGTAAAGTCTATGGTGCGTCGCAGCGCAAAGGCTGGAGCTCAGCTCGGGCACGACGGCTCAGGCTAAAGAGACATCCTAATGCCTTCACAGTCATATGTACTCGGAATCTTATATGACCATTGTCCTTTGTAGAGATTGCATTATCTGCGATTAGGGAAACTGTGGTTCTCTGTCTCGTCGGTTGTAAGTACCAAGCAAGGAGTCTTGGGCTTGATTCCTTAGTAGTATGTATAGCTGAGTTGCGACCTTTATTGGCCAATATCAAAATGTGGTTTGACCGGTATAAAGTGGGTGTTGCATTGTAAATGTACACAATGCTTTGTAAAAGTAAAAATTCGGACGTAATTCAACATCTACTTTTCTATCAGGAACTAACCGTGATATATTATCTACTAGCTTTTACCCGCGGCTTCGCTCGCGTCACAAAAAAATAAAAAGTATCTTAAGTGACATATACCAATACACACAGCGCCATCTATATCAATACTTTTGTTTTTCCTCGGGAATATAAAATTTTTCCGAGTTAAAAAGTACCCTATTATTTAATCTGGACTTCTAACTTAACGTCTGCAAAAATTCAAAGCAATCGGTTGAGTAGTTACGGCGTGATGGTGGAACAAACAAACAAACAAACAAACTCACTTTCAGATTTATAATATTAGTAAGGATATATTTTGCTGCATTGAAACTCGATACGTTGAAGATAGGTTCGTATTACATAGATTTAGTTTTATCCATATTAATATCGCATTATAATTAATTAGGTATCGTTAATTAGTGCTTAGTGATTCAAGATGTTATGTGGTTCGGGCATTCTGTAATACACACATTGCATTGAATTATTTTGTCTACTATTTATATTGAAACAATTTGGTAGGCAATAACAAGGAATTCGAAAATCGCGTGTTACGAACATCGACTAATTTCCTAAAAATATACAAACTAGAAATAATATTACACTAAGTACGCATTAATACCTACTTACTTATGTAACCTATTTTCTTCAGTGCCTACCTTATTACTATCTGATAATAAAGTATATTTTCTTTGAATCGTAACTATTAATTTATAAAAATTGAAAATAGTTGTTTCTTTACTGTTAAATTACAGAATATGGTGGAAATACTGATTACAAAATGAAAATATAAAAATTCGGTTCTTTAAATCTTGGAAATGTTCTTATAAATTAAAACCAATCTCTTAAGTAATTATAAATAAACTAATTCAGACATCGAGAGCAAAAAATCGTAGAAACACATAAAAATAGATACAGAAAAACCTTTCAAGTACACTTTGAAAGGCCTTAAAGGGCTCAATTTACCCTATCTACTCGAAAGGGGTAAATTAAGGCTAAGAGTTTTCCTCAAAACGAGGTCGAAATGTAAAAAGTGCCTTCAAAAGTCAACTGTTTAAATAGAAGAAAAAAAAAATATTTGTAAGTCGGGAAACGTCTCGCGGCTCTTAGGAAATGGTTAGTATTCTGTGACCGTGTCGTGTTATATGCAAATAATGTGATCCATACATCGAGTCACTTTGTTGGACAACTCGCGAACGTGCCGAGTTGGTTTTGTGGCCCTACACAAAACCAACTGAGGCAAACAGATGCTGTTTGATAAGATCAATGAAAGGTTTTTTTTTTGTCTATAGGGAATAGCTTTGTGTATATTGATTTTGTGATGTTTTAATCTCCAGAGACAATCAGAGTTTTATATCATAAAATCTTTTCGCATTGTACTAGACATAATATTATATTAAATCTCATTTTGAGCTTATCCTACACAAAATCAAATCATTTAGAGATTAACATACAGATTCAAATTCAAATTAAATTAAGAAAATTGGTAGAAAATATATAAAATGAAATCCACATTTCTCCTGTCTAATAAATCAACTAATCCCATTAAACTGATAAAACCCGTCACATTATACTAATGAAGTTGGACTTTTTTAACTGCTATCTATTACTTAGGGTCCGTCTGTCTGTCCTATCGGATCCGATAGCATTCGTGAGGAATGGATCCGGTTGGACCCGAGCTGACTCGGTCCCAGCCGAGCTCGAAGCCACCACTAATCTGATTCCGATACCCTCACAACTTTTATTCAAATGTAATGATGAAATAACTGAAGAAAGTACCTTTGAGTGGAAATAAAGTCTTCGTATTGATATTTTATCGATTATGAAGTCAGTGTATAGTTCAAGGTCAAATGTATTTGTTTTAATGGAAAGGGTGTATTATGGTTAATGGTTTATGAAATTAATGGTAATTGTGCAAGCATTTGCTGTTAATTGGTTATTAATTTTAATCTTTATCCCCATCCTTGAAGGCACCGCATGAAGGACCAGTTTATTTATTTACTGAACAATGGTTCTATACAACAATAGATGCATATTTAAAATCAAGAGGAGAATATCAAGAGTAGATTAGTTAGGATGGCTGAATTCAGTAAGATTAGGTAGCAATTAAAATATTTTCTTATGAAATATCAAAACGTAGGACTCATACATTCCACATTACTTAGTTTATAATACAAAACTAGTACAACATTATATTAGAACAAGATACCACCAATATACTGAAACCAGTACGAATAAATCGTTTAGCTTAGTTAGCAGTAAAGTTAGACATTGTAAGCGGCTATAGCAAGGCGAGTACTAGTTAAATTCTCCGGCATTACCTGCTTAGTAACTATTTGCTTGGGATACTCAAATACTTCAGTCTGGCTATTTAGAGTTGCAGGTGTACAAAGGAATACTTTGATTCTCTCATTCATTTGAGTGGATTGATACGTGCGTTTATAACATACCTTTTGCATAATCATTTCTAACGCCTCTTCTTATAGTACTTTGTTCTGATCAATTCGATAATTTCTTGTCCATCAAATGTAATTATTAATTAAATTTTTTTGGCCGTAGACGAGCGACCGGATGACCAGATAGTAAGCAATCGGCGCCGGCGGCGCCCATGGTCACAAGGTACACCAAAGGCGTTATAAGAGCGTTACTAGTCTTTTGAGGATTAGGAATTTTAAGAATGTTAAGGATTCAGGGATTGAGGAGATTGGAGAAGAGGGGTGGAGGGCGGTAACCTCTATTAAACTCACAACACGACGAAACACAACACAAGCGTTATTTCACGTCGGTTTTCTGTGACGCTGTGGTATCACTCCGGTCGAGCCGGCCCATTCGTGCCAAATCATGCGAGCAAGCATTTATCTCGCACACTAGTTAAAATTATCACATGCCGATTCTAGACAGCAAAGAAATCAAATGTAAATTGTGTCATATCAAACACACACATAACACAGACTGATATAACAAGACCTGAAAATAAAAGAGTCTCACTGAAACAAACAGACATAAATATTTATTATAATGTTTGGGAAACCTCACAATAATCCAATTAGGCTTAGTTAATTTGTGTTGACCTCTGAGTAAAGTTGAGACGCGGACGTCTTTGATTCAATTATGTAATTTTACGATCATGTCCGCACACAAATTATACGTCCGTGAAACTCGTTTGGGTTTAGTGTAAGGATGGGCGTGCACTTGCCTGTTCTGTTTGCTATTGTAGTGTGTTATTGATTATGATCAGAATGTTTTTATCAATATTAGACATTTTTATCAATAACCTTAACATCACGCCTTTTATCCCCGAAGGAATAGGCACAGGTGCACATTATTATACCTCATAGTGGCATTAAGTATAATGCCACTATGAGGTATAATGTAACACCCAATTTTCGCAATTACCAATTCACAATTATAACACAATAGGGGGTGAGGCTATTGCCATATATCGGGCACAATTCCAGACTCTATATTACTGAGATTTTTTTTTAAAATTCCTGTGACACTTTTTAG